GGCAGGTTAAATCTACTGGCCGAGTATCAATCATTAATGTACAGTATATGACTAGTCCTGGTTCATGACAAGATAGCGTATTGGATTGCCATAATGCAGCAAGATGGTCACACAGCTCTGTCACATGCAATCTTTAGCATATATATGTGAACACTCCAACTTTTTAATTAATTTAATTTATTAAAAAGCTGTCTGGTCAAACAAAAAACCCTGCACCATTTTACTTGCATCCATTGCCTCAGCCCAACCAAAATTGTGAAATATTCAGTAGTTGAATCTTAATGGTCACAACTTATGCAACGTGTTGCCAAGTAACAAGACTTTGTTGTTGATTTCAGGTGAAAGAGAAGAATTATTTATAACAGTTGATAGACTACTATGTCGTTGCCTAACAGTGGACGTCAAGGTATCTACAATTAGGAATGAAGTACAACAACAAGCCCTAGATCGCATCAATCGTATGCTACAAGACCTTTCTGAAAAAAGTAAATCAGATTTGGTTGGCTGTAAAGAACTCGTTGTTATGTATTTGAATGCTTGTTCCTCTGATTCGTCAGGAATACCAGATCAGAAGTTTCAGATGACGGTCATAGAATGTACGGTAGATGACCAGAAAAAGATTCGAAAACGACTTCATGATTATTTACAAGTGCTTAACAATACAGAGGAAGAACTGAGCAAACATAAAATATCTGTCTCGTAGTATTTATTTATACATTTATACAAGTTTTTATCTTTACTGGATAATTATCAGCATGGAAAGTTTTTTTAAAAATTTAAAGTGGGAGGGTAGTTACCTGCTCACGCGTGCGAATTGAGTCCCAAGCGACGATAACAACTCACGCTAAAAATGCAAAGGCTCATGGGTAGACGCTTGTTTGTAAACAATTACACACTATGAACATTTGATGCATGCGTAGGTGACGGCTCTCCCACTTTAAAAGAAACCCCATTTTATTCTAATAGGAAGTTGGTTACAAGGAGTCTTTAGTGTATCCTTGTATTTTAAAGCCCCTTTCTGCAATTCCAGGGATTACATCAAACACTGTTGTTCATTTATTCTTTGCTTGCCATTATAATTTTAGTTCAGCTTGCACAGTGTATTGTTCAGAATTCTTCTATCATTTTACAAAGTATCAGATGCTTACCCTTGTGGAACGTTTGACAGAGACATGATTTATTTTGTTCACCTTACAGTGGCATTTGTATTTCTTTATATTTTTGTGAGACAATTTGTCTCATGAAAGTAAAAAAAAACCTGGGACAAAAATACAAGGTACAGATAGGTTACATCTACTAACTGGTTACAATGATCTACATTGTAACTGTATCACTGCCTGAGAGATTACCATACATCCAAATAAAACACTTTCTGTGCAATCAGAACGAACTACGGACTGTGGTAGTAAATTAAATTGCATTTCAAGGCAGTCAGGTTAAGTGATACTGCATGGCATTAAATTTTCCCAAGGAATGATTGTCATAACAAGTCAGTAATTTTGAGAGAATCTGTGACTCCATGTCTGAAGGACTACACTCAAATATACCGGTAGTTTGCAATTTTTTCCCCTGATTCTTAAAATGCTGAACAATTTGTGTAAAATATGAATTTAAAACTAAGCATGCTTTGTGTGACTGTAAAAATCTGTTACATTCAACGTATGATTTCCAAACATAAAATAACTTGTGGAAATGTCAGCACATAATGCCTACTAGTATTTTCAATATATATTTTTTATTGATATTGATATTGGCTGATGACATCATTGATCTTTCAGTTGGATTCAACTGCCATTGACATTTATAAAATAGTTGGATTTGGTTTGTTGTCTATAGTTATGCAATAGCGCCCTCTTGGTTAAAGTTAATGATTTAATCAGTCCTTTTGTTTTTAAGTGCACAGGTAACTTTCTGTAGTTCACAATGCAAATATAGTGTATGAATAATGTATTAAGGAATGTTGATCACACAAGTTTTCACAAAAACTTGATTTACAGATTGAAATTAACTCAGTTTTGCTTTCACAATTTGAAATTATAATGATTTATTCAACAGCTTTGTGTTTTTTCTACAGTGTAGCTTAGAATGAAATCAAAGTTGAACTGAAACTGTCACATTGCTTTTACAAGCTATGAAATAAGCTTAGATTTCTTATTAGTAAGTTAAGATCACAAATGTGTTTTAAAAAGCACTTTAATGCTTTCTGTATTAGGAGTTACCGTAGTACTGATAAAACATGTCAGTATTGTAAGGAGGAATGAATATCTAATAGGAAATGGCTCAACCCTAACCTCACAGTTGGACCAATCAGAGTACTGCTTGTCTGTCAAGTTTTTTTAGGACGCATTAAGCTTTGTTTATATGCTTAAATTCAGCCGGGAGAAGACGGATAGGCAACTACAGAAATTATATTGTAATCTTTTGCAAAGGTAATCGCATATTCTACTAGGTGAAGGGACAAAAATGTTGTAAAATGTGACAAGGAACATTCATAAACCGATACTATAGTCTTGATCTTTGCCCCCCCCCCCCCCCCCAAAGTGAATTGATGGGAGAACATGTTTGGAAAGTATGAAGTCCTTGGCTATTTTTTCACATAGTGACCTTTTTCCTCAAAATGTATTACCGATAGTCTTGCAAATTGCTCACAAATCATGTGTGTCTTTTTCCAATAGTAGAATTATATAGTACCAAGACGCATTGTAATGCATGACATGTGATGCTGCAGCACAGGTAAGTATGAAGCTGCAGTTGTAAAAAACTCAGTGAAAAGGCTAGTAATGTTATCACTGTTACTACAAAATTATCTCACAGCACCACGGCAAGAGACATGGCTTGATGTTTGGTAATTAAGGTAGTTTGCTGCAATTAAATCCTGGAAAAATGATGTGTAACGATTTACAAGTGTAACCCTCATAATACATACATTTTTTAGCATAAGTCACCCAACAACATTTTGAGATATGATGGAGTGTTTCTGCCAGAAAGAGCCAATTGTAGACTATTAAAAACAAACATTTTTGAGATCATTTTGTGACCCTACATTTATGAGTCACGATATTTAATTAAGTCTTTTAATATCCCCCGCACGGTTATAACACGTCACTCGTTGAGATATCAAAGTCAACCATTAAATGTACCAGAAACAAGATCTTTCAAAGGGCTTCTAGCCACATATTTTACATTAACATGTAGATATGCAAGATTTGAAACATCGGATAGACCGAGTATATCTTTATTTTTCCCTTATAGCTGTAACCTGCTACATCTGTACATGTACGCGCACACACACACTGTGAAAAACAAGGAGACCTGGATTAAATGGAAGATAAATTTTGTATTTTATTAATACACAAACTTGTGGAGGGTATGTGGTTTCCTACTTGTGCAGTGTAACATTTATAACCATAACTCAGGTTCAGGTATTTTATGCCAGAATAATTCTGGAATAAAGCATAGTAAATTGTTATCACATGCATGGCTTACAGTAAACAATTCTGAAATCTACATGTAGCATATATATTCAATACAAAAAGCATAAATCAACTTGTCCATTTATTTTATTTTTTGTGGTACACACATTTTTGTCCAGAATTTGATAAAAATACAAAATACACTTTTACACAAGACAGATTAATTTGATGAGATATTTCTGGTTCCTTGATGTCACAATCAATTAAAATAATAGTAAAAAATGAGAGTATGCAACTGATATGACATGAAAGATAACAAAATCACAAGACAAATATATTGCAAGAAATAATGTAAATAATCAAGTCTGTGAATCTGCTGGTTAGTATTCATTGCAGACTGTTTTTGCC